TCGCCAAGTGCTTCATGCGCTTCTCCTTCCATAAGTTCATTGACTTCTGCCTCAGCACTCAGTTGTCCCTCCCGATTATCAGCTTCCTAAACTACCGGATCTTGTCCTTTTCCTCAAATGAAGGCGGTGGTTAGGCGAAATGAACCTCGTCAGATTTTGGTGGTCTTAGATTGTAGAATGGACCCCCAAACACACCGCTCCAACTCACCCACAAGTTCATGCGCTGTGTCCTGGAAATGCGCTTCAGAAGCCCACTAGCACCGGTGCTTCCGTTGTGAGAGCGTCAATGGGCTTTTGTAATGCGTTTCCAGGACTTAGCGCATGAATTTGAGAGGGAAGAGCTGCGGTGTACCTGGGAAGTGAGGAGATCCACCACCCAATACCAACAAAATCTGGCAGAAATCCTTATTGCAAAACTATTGCCTTAAATCTGACTCACTCTGACAGCAGAATCATTATGTCGTTCCTCAGAAGTCTCCATTGTTTCGCCCTCGTGGACCGCGTCTGAGGACTGCGACGGAGTTTCCGTGTTATCAGGTGAATGGATATTTACTTTAGGGACATTTATGGAGGGGAATTTGTTCGATGGAGCATCAGTGGAGGATACAGCAGTGGAAGAAGTATCAGTTTCACCGAGAGGCTTGCCTTGCGTTGAATCATCATGATCAGGGGCTTCATTATCCAAGGTTTCGCGTAGCTGAACATCACCCTGCGCAGCGGCTTCACCTTTAGCTTCTTCAGTTCTCTGCGTGTTGGAATCCCTATCATTAACATTTGAATCCAACTCAGTCGATTGTTCGGATACAGCTGCTTCCGCATTTTCTCCTTCATTATTGCCTGATTCAAGTGGATGTTCAGCTTCGTGCTCTTCCGCTTCATCCGCATTTGAAGATGTATCACTACTACTGTCATTACTGGAGGTCTCAGATTCCACATGCTCAGTTCTTTCGGGTTCGCGTGCTCGACGTTGGCGCAGTCGCGCTTGTACGCGGTCCCTTTCAAAGCCAAGAATGGCATTTAGCCAATGTAATCCCATCCTGAAGTAAGTTCAGTAAGCGCATTCCATGTATGGAAGATAACGGTAAGGTAACAAGAAATTGACAAACCTGTCGTCCTCTCCAAGCTCTTCGTCATCAGACGGTGCTCCCTCATCGGCAAAAACGAACATTCCAGCACCAACATCGACGTCTCGAGCGGCTTCATCAGGTCGATCGTTGTCGCCGCCTTCGTGAAGCTCATGTTCTTCTACTCCTTCAGGGCGTTCTTCTTGGTGTTCGTTGTCATGTCTGTGCAAATGAAAACTTATTTTACGAAACTAATAATAAAAGGGACCATTACTCCTATAGGTGATGGGAGGAGAAGGAAGTCGTTTTTACGCACAGGTGTCGAAGACATCCAGTGATTCAAACTATACGAAAGCAAAGACAAGAATTTTGTATTTTGACTTAGGAAGCA